CGCCCCCACACCCAATCCTCCCTCCCCACCAAAGTTGTAAAGTTCGTTTTCAACGTGACAACTTGTACTTCTCATTATTGCAACAGGTCCACCTGTATCCTTAAATGACTTGTTTCCTCCACAAATTATACCGACATAAAATATAGTGAAAGCAGGAGTTATACTATGGGGGAGGGACATACAAAGCAACAAAGAGATAATCTTATAAAAGCATTAGAAACAAATGCATGAAAGAAAAAAAAAACATTTAAATACATATCTAAGGGTTCATTTTCCTACCATCACATTATCTGACCTTTCCTGCTTGACTCATACATATACTAGATATTGCAAATAAGGGAAACCATGGGACCTACGTTTCTTTGGGCTTGGCTTACTTTACATAACATAATTTTTTCTAAGCCTTTCCATTTCCTAACAAATGGGGCCATGTCATTCTTTCTGATGGAGGCATAGAATTCCATTGTGTATATATACCACATTTTCTTGACGCATTCATCTACTGAGGGACATCTGGGTTGGTTCCATATCTTAGCTATGGTAAATAATGCTGCAATAAACATGGTTGTGCTGGTAGCTTTAGTGTGGTCTTGTTTGTAAACATTTGGGTAAGTGTCCAAAAGTAGGATTGCTGGGTCATAGGGGAGCTCTATGTGAAGTCTTTTGAGGAACCTTCATATTATTTTCCAAAGTGGTTGAACAAGTTTACACTCCCACCAAGAATTCAGTAAGGTTCCCTTTTGTCCATATCCCCTCCAGCATCTGTTGTTATTAGAGTTCTTGATTTTAGCAATTCTAACTTGGGTGAGGTGGTATCTCAATGTTGTTTTGATTTGCATTTCTTTTATGGCTAGGGAGGTAGAGCATTTCTTCATGTGTCTATTGGCCATCCTTCTTTCTTCTTCAGAGAAGTTTCTCTTTAAGTCTGTAGCCCACTTGTTTATAGGGTAGTTGTTTCTTTGAGGATTTGTTGTTGGGGGATTTAATTTTTTGAGTTCCAAGTATATTTTAAATATGAGACCCTTGTCTGTTGTATGGCTAGTGAAGATCTTCTCCCAATTCTTGGGCTTTCTATTAATCTTGCTAGCTCTGTCCTTTGCCATGCAGAAGCTCTGCAACTTTATGCAATCCCATTTGTCCAACCTTTCTTTGATTTGTTATGTTTCTGGGTCTCTCTTAAGAAGATTTCGGTTTGCGCCAAGAAGACCTAGGGTTTCTCCTATTCCATCCTGTAATGATTTCAGAGTTTCTGCTTTGACTCTAAAGTCTTTGATCCATTTGGTGTTGATTCTGGTGAAGGCTGATATATAAGGATCTAGCTGTAGTTTTTTTTACAAGAAGTTAACCAATTTTTCCAGCACCATTTACTGAAGAGGCTGTCTTTCTTCCATTCTACATTTTTAGCTCCCTTATTGAAGATTAGATGGCTCTAGGTTCATTTCTGGTTTTCAATTCTGTTCCATTGGTCCTGAGGTCTATTCTTGTGCCAGTACCAAGCTGTTTTTATTACTATGACTTTATAGTAGAGTTTGAAATTTGTTATTGTTATTCCTCCAGCAGTGTTCTTTCCGTTGAGGAGCGCTTTTGCTATTCGGGGTCTTTTATTGTTCCAAATGAATTTTTGGATTGCCTCTTCAATTTCCTTGAAGAATGAGGTTGGAATTTTGATAAATATCGCATTGAATTTGTAGATAGCCTTGGGAAGTATTGCCATTTTCATGATGTTAAACTTTCCAATCCAGGAGCATGGGAGGTTTTGCCATTTTCTAAGTTCTGTTTTGATTTCCTTTTTTCAAGTTTTTAAAGTTTTGATCACAGAGGTCCTTCACTTCTTTGGTTAAGTTAACTCCTAGGTATTTTATTTTTTGTGGAACTATTACAAATGGAATTACTTTCCTAATTTCAACCCCACTTTTCTCATTGTTGGTATACAGAAAAGCCATTGCTTTTTGAGGGTTAATTTTATATCCTGCTATTTTGCCAAAGTTTTGAATCAGCTTGAGTAATTTGGGAGTAGAGTCTATGGGATTCTTTAAATACAAGATCATGTCATCTGTAAAGAGGGAGAGTTTTATTTCTTCTTTCTCTATTTAGATCCCCTTTATGTTTGCATCTTGTCTTATTGCTATAGCTAGGCATTCTAATACTAGATTGAAGAGAATTGGAGAGAGTGGACATCCTTGTCTTGTTCCTGAGTTTAGAGGAAATGGCTTTAGTTTTTCACCATTAAGTGTAATGCTGGGTAGGTTTGTCATATACAGCCTTTATTGTATTGAGGAATGTTCTATGGATTCCTAATTTTTCCAAAATCTTCATCATAAAGGGTTGATGGATCTTGTCGAATCCTTTTTCTGCATCTATTGAGATAACCATGTGGTTCTTATCCTTGGTCCTGTTGATGTGATGAATAATATTAATTGATTTGTGTATATTGAACCAGCTTTGCATCCCTGAAATGAATCCTGCTTGATCGTGGTGTATGATTTTTTGGATGGATTGTTGAAGTCGACTGGCGAAAATTTTGTTGAGAAGTTTTGCATCAATGTTCATTAAAGAAATGGGTCTATAGTTCTCTTTCTTTGAAGAGTCCCTGCCTGGTTTTGGGATGAGGGTTATGATGGCTTCATAGAATGTGTTCGGTAATGAACTTTCTCATTCAATTTCAATGAATAGTTGGACGAGTATTGGCGTGAGCTCTGCTTTGAAGGCCTTATAGAATTCCCATAAAACCATCTGTCCCTGGGCTTTTCTTAGCTAGGAGGTCTCTTATTGCCCTTTCTATCTCAATGCTTGATGTGGGCCAGTTAAGCTGATTTAACTCATCTTTGTTTAGTTTTGGCATGTCGATATTTGCTAAAAAAAAAAAAAAGGTCCATTTCTGCCATGTTCTCAAACTTATTAGCATAAAGTTTTGAGAAGTATTCCCTTATAATGTTCTGAATCTTCGTTGTTTCCGTGGTGATGTTTCCATTCTTATCTCTGAGTTTATTTATTTGGATGTGTTCTCTTCTTTTTCTGATAAGATTTGCTAAGAGTATGTCAATTTTGTTAATTTTTTTTGAAGAACCAACTCTTTGTTTTTTGATTCTTTCTATAGTTTTTTTAGATTCCAATTCATTTAATTCTGATTTTATTTTAATTATTTCTTTCCATCTACTGGATTGGGGTTTAACTTGCTGCTCTTTATCAAGGAGAGATGTGTCATTAAATTGTTGGTTTCAGATCTCTCCAATTTGTTGATGTAGGAACTCAGAGCTATAAACTTGCCTCTGAGTACTGCCTTTCCTGTGTCCCAGAGGAGCTGGTAATTTGTGTGAATTATTTTTGTTGAATAGCATGAACATTTGAATTTCTTTTCTAATCTCTTCCATGACCCACTAGTGATTCAGCAGTGGGTTGTTCATCCTCCATGTGTTACCGGACATTCTTTGGAAGCTATTGCTGTTGATTTCTAATTTTATTCCCTTTTGGTCAGAGAGAATGCAAGGTATTGCTTCAATGTTTCTGAATTTAGACAAGTTTGCCTTGTGGCCTAAAATGTCGTCTATTTTAGAAAATATTCCATGTGCTGCTTAGAAAAACGTGTACTCTGATGCTGCTGGGTGAAATATTCGGTAGATGTCTGTTAAATCTAATTGATCTATGCAGCTGTTTAAATCTGCGGTTTCTCTGTTGAGTTTTTGCTGAGTTGATCTATCTAGTGGGGAGAGTGGTGTGTTAAAATCCCCAACAATTAATGTCTTTGTATCTATGTGGGATTTGAGGGAAAGTAGTGTTTCTTGGATAAATTTGGGTGCTCCATTGTTTGGCGAATAGATAGAATTGTAATATCCTTCTGAAGGAGAGATCCCTTAATTAGTATGTAGTGACCTTATTTATCTCTTCTCACGAATTTTAATTTGAAGTCTATTTTAGCTGATATTAGGATTGCAACTCCCGCCTGTTTATAAGGGCAGTTTGCTTGGTAGATTTTGTTCCAGCCTTTAACATTGAAACTGTGATTGTTTTTATGGGCTAGATGTGACTCCTGAAGGCAACAGATAGAAGGATCTTGTTTTTTAATCCAACTAGACAGTCTATGTTGCTTAATTGGAAAGTTAATTCCGTTAATGTTGATAGATAGGACTGAGAGGTATTTGGGAGTTCCTGCCATGTTATCCACCGTCTTGGGGGCTGTGAAAACTGTTCGTCCTATGGTTCTTGGAATCTCAGTTTGGGTGCAGTTTCTTGGCCTTTATTGTGGTCTTGTTGATTTTCTATGTGTAGGACATCTTTAGGAATCTTTTGTAGGGCTGGTTTGGTGGAGATGTATTGTTTCAATTTTTTTTTGCTATGGAAGTTTTTTATTTGGCCTTCAGTTATGAAGGAGAGTTTAGCTGGGTACAGTATTCTTGGTTGATTGTTGTTTGTTTTTAGGGCATGGCATACATCATTCCAGGCTCTTCTTGCTTTGATTGTCTCTGCTAGGAAATCTGAGGTGATTCTAATTGGTTTCCCTTTATAGGTGATTAATCTTTTCTCCTTCATAGATTTAAGGATCTTTTCCTTGGTCTGACTTGATCTCGTGTGGATTAAAATGTGACGGTGGGATGTCCTATTCTCGTCTGGTCTATTTGGAGTTCTAAAAGCTTCTTGTATCTGAATAGGCCTCTCTTTTTGCATGTTTGGGAAGTTCTCTGCTAGGATCCTGTTAAACAAATTTCCTAGACCATTAACTTCTGTTTCTAGTTGCTTTTCTACACCCATTATCCTTAGATTAGGCCTTCTGATGGTGTCTTCTAAGTATTGGATAGATCTCTCATATTTCTTGGACTTGTCTTGGATGATTGTATGTTCTTTCTCTATAAGATCTAGGCTGTTTTCAATCCCTGAGATTCGATCTTCTGCATGGTCTATCCTGCTGTCGAGACTTTCTACTTTGTTTTTATTTCTTTTCCTTCTATTTGGTCAGTCTTGAGCTCACCCGCTGGCTCCTTTGTTCTGGACTCCCTGTCATTCAGGTATGGCGGGTTCGGCCACTGCCACTACCCCTGCTGCCACGGCGGCAGCTGCTGCTGGCAAGAACTCAGATCTGCTCCTTGCCTGGATTTTCCCTCTCTGGCCTAACTCTCTGTCCTGTGATGGCACACTTAGTGTGATTCTCTGGCTTAGGACTGTTCACTGGAACTCTAAAACTGCTTTCTATGGAAGAGCTTGTTTAGCCTCCAACTTCTCCTCAGCCATCTTCCCAGAACTGGATAGGTGTACATTTCTTATCAAGCATTTTAGCCTCCTCATTTTTTCCCCTTCCCATTCCTTCCCTTCCTCTCCCCACCCCCGCTCTTTTAACTTTACATTTGAAGTTAGTTTCTTTCAGAAATCTAAGCCCATTTAACTTGTACTTCATATGAATATGAATTTATCATGTGGATTAAAAAGGCATTTAGAAAGTTGAAGCACATCAAGGGAGGCAGAGGAACATTTTTGGCATAAGTTGAATACATTCTGAAAATGTTTTGTTTTGAAACTACCTTCTAATAAACATATTGATAATTGGCATTCCTGTTTATCAAAATAAATAGGCACTGTCATTCTGAGAAAAACTCTATCCTTACAACAATATTCCCAATTTCATGTCAAATGGAATCACAGAACATGAATCACCTGGAAAGGTTTTATGTATAAACAGCATTCAAACATAACCTTAATCAATTTGCTTTAGTAACTTTGCACAAGTAAGATTTATTTTTGTGATGTGTTATTATAATTGTGTCTCTGGCCCCATTTATGACCACGAGAATTGTCCTAAGGCTCAAATGATTCACCCTGTTTCCTAACATAAGGTAAGATTTTCAATGCTTTCATAGCTCTCAATAGGAAAATAGAGAAATAAAGGAGTGAAGAACATAATACTTAAAAATTGATTAATTGTGGGCATACGGACTATACAATGTATAATGCTGTATAGGCAGAAGAAATAACAAATAGGCCTTGAATATGAGGCTTGGGCAATTAACTTGTGGACCTGTCCTTGAAATGAAGTCCTGGGAAATGAACTCATGACTTGGGACCTTTTTTCAATGCCTGGGACCAGAACTCATTGCCTGGGCCTTCAAACAATGGCCTGACTCTTGAACTCAGGATGGGCCTTGAAAATAGGACCTGGGTCTTAAATTCACCTCCCAGAAATTGAAATCACAGCAGGGCCTTAACTTGTACTGTGCCTTAAACTCAGGATCTAGGAGTTGAACTGAGGCCCTGGATGTTGAACTCGGTGCCTGGGACATGAACTGTGGTCCTGGGACTTGAACTCATATTTTGGCCAGAAACTCTTGGCCATGGCTCTGAACTCATGGCTTGGTTCTTGAACACCTGGCATATGAACTGGGACCCTGGATCTTTTTTTTTTTTTTTCTGAGTCCGGTTTTGGGGCCTGAACTCTGGGCCTCGGGGCTGTACCTCAGCTCTTCAGCTCAAGGCTAGCGCTCTACCACTTGAGCCACAGCGCCACTTCTGGCTTTTTTGCTTATGTGGTGCTGAGGAATCGAACCCAGGGCCTCAGGCATGCAAGGCAAGTGCTCTACCACTGAGCCACCTTCCCAGCCCAAGGGACCCTGGATCTTCAACTCGTGGTCTGGGAATTCAAATTGTGGCCTTGGCTTTGAACTCTGAGCCTACAATTCCAATTTGGGACCAGGGATTTTTATCCATGACTTGGGACTTGAACACTTGGCCTGGGACTATATTCAAGGCATTGGCCTAGCATTCAAAACTGGTTTTTGAACTGGGTTCCTAGACCTTGAACTGGGGCCTGGGATGTAAACATATTGTGTGGGCATGAAACTATAGGCTTGACCATTGAATTCACACACTGAACCTTGAACTCATAGCCTGAGGCTTCATCTTAAAATGTGAACTGGGGCCCTGGACTTTGAATTACAGGAGTAAGAGGGGATCTAAGACTTATATTCACAACCTTAACTTGTGCTCTGGCTCTGAAATCAAGAGCTGGGACTTGGAATGTAGCTGGAACTTTCAACTCAGGGCCTGGGACTTAAACTTTTTTCCTAATCCTTAAACTCGGGGCCTAGGTCTTGAATTCAGGTCTGGGAAATGAATTGCTAGCCTGAGCTTTGAACTCAGTACCTAGGCCTTCACCTTTCTGCCTGGCTGTGAATGTAGGACTAGGACTTGAACTTTCAGCTTAGGACTTGATCTCAGGGTCTGAACCTTGAACTCAGCACCTAGGAATTAATTTACAGCATGATCACTGAACTTGGGGCTTGGGCTTTTAACTATCGGCCTGGGACTTGATTTTGGGGCCTGGAACTTAAAGTCACATCAGTGGCATTTAATTTGAGGACTGGGCCTTAAAATTGGGGCCTAGAATTTGAAATTGAGCTTGGGAGTTGAACTAAGGCTTAAGGCTGGTGCTTGCATGCTGGGCCTTGAATTCACCACCTGGGAATTGAACTGGGGGCCTGTACCTTTTCCCCAGTGTTGGGCCTGGAACTCAGTGTTCAATTTTGAAATGGGGCCAGGGATATTAACACAGCCTGGGACATGAATTCTGCCTGGGAGTTGTACGAGGAATTTGGGAGTGGAACTCAAAGTTGAGACTGGAACTCACAAACTTGGATTTGAACTGGTCCCCGGACCTTGTTCTTTAGTGTGCAGGCCTTTAAATCACAATGTGTAAGTTGAACATGGAGCCAGAGATATTACAAAGCCTGGGACATGAACTTGGCCTGGGCTTTGAACTCAGGATCTGGGACTTTACATCATCGTCCAGGCTTAAACTCAGAGACTGGAACTGGAACTGAGAGCCTGGGGCTCGAACTCATGGGGTGGTGTGTGGAATGTTGCCCTAGACCTTGAACTCTGAGCATGACAAAGCCTGGGCTTTGAATTCACAACCCAGGTCCTGAACTGGGTGCCTGGGCCATGAACTTGGAGTTTGGGAATAGAACTCATATTAGGCTAAAACTCTGGGCTGGTCCTTGAACTCACAAATTGGACCTTGTATTCACATCCTGGCCTTGAACTCACAACCTGTGCCTTAAATTCCTGGCTTGTGTCTTCAGCTCACAGCCTGGGCCTTGATCTTATTTCCTGATTCTTGTTCTGGGTCCCTACACCTTGAAGTTGACAAGAAGTGAGTACTGAGACTTCATTTTGGGGCCTAGGCTTTTAACTCATAGTCTGGGCCTTAGTGTCATGATCTGTACCTTGAACTGAAAGCCTGGGATTTGATCTCTGGGCCTGAGCCTTGAATTCAATGTCTTGACCTTCAAATTGTGATGGGGTAATGAATTATGTGCCTCAGTCTTGAACTGGGACCTGGACTTGAACTCATAGCCTGGGCCTGAACCTCTGGGCCTGGGTCTTGAACTCACAGAGTAGTCCTTGAACTCACAGCTTGGGCCTTGATCCCAAAATGTTGAACTACAGGAGGAAGGGGGGACCTGGGACTCCAACATGGGGCCTAGGACTTAAACTCACAGCCTGGGCCTTAAACTTGCACCCAGGATTTGAAATCCATGACTCGGAATTGCATGCAGACCGATCCTTGAACTTGGGGCTTGGGACTTGAACTTTCATCTTCCCACAGGAACTGGGTCATATGTCTTGAACTTAGGCTGGGACTTAAATTTGCAGCCTCTATCTTTAAGTCCTGGTCTGGGCTTCGAAATGTCAGACTGAGACTTGAATTTGGTTCCTCAAACTTGACCTCTCAGCATAGAACTTTAATTCAGGGCTTCGGCCTTGAACTTAGTGCCTAGGAGTTGAACTCTTGGTCTGGGTGTTGAATTATCAGCCTGAAACTTTAATTCCAGGCTGAGGAATGGAACTCCTATATTTGCCATTTAACTCAGGACCTGGGCCCTGAACTCATGATGTGGAATTTAAACGGTGGGCCATGGACATTCAAATAAAGGGCTGGCCCTTGAGCTCAGGGCCTGTGACTTGAATTCTTAGCCTGGAATTTTTACTCATAGTATGGTACTTGAAATCTTGGCCTGGGATTTGAACTCTGGGATTTATGAATATGACTCCATGGTAATATGAGTCCTGTTTCCTGCTTATATAACTAACAGAATCATAATTTTTTCTGGCTTCTCAAAAGTGGATGATACTAGAGAACCTTAGAATTAATGAGAAAATCTGTGGCAATATAGGAGACCATGTTACTGGCTGATTTGTCTCAAAATTTTAATCAACCATATGTTTGTATATATATATACATACATATAAACAAATGTATACATATATATATATATATATGAGCAGATTTGTATGTGTAATCAGATACTTTTTTGTTGACTGTCCATTTGTAGATACAAATCTTTGTGTGTGTGTGTGTGTGTGTGTGTGTGTGTGTGTATGTGTATGTGTACAAATTAGAATGTCACAAGTTTTCCCTCCTCTGTTTCAGCACCCATAAAGTGAAGCATGGCAAATATCTATGGTTTTCTTTAATTTAAAACTGAGGAGATTTTGCCTGCCTACAGTTCTTGATTTCAGTCAATCATGATAAACATTAATCACAGTTTGTCCAGGATATTTTTCTTATATTTCTTCCATGGTAATGAAAATTGAAACCATGATTGCATGATTGGATTCAACCTCTTACCCTGGTCTTGATACCAGCCAATATTCCAAATGTTGGTGTATCTCCGGTATAAAATTCTCTAAGTCAAACATATTTGAGAAAATAATCTTAAAGAAATGCTTATGGCAATATTTTCAATATTCATAGCAAAGTCCAATATTTCCATTTTCATATTGGCAGATGACATGCATATATTCTTAAATATTATTTATTTTTCTGGCCAGATGAACATATTTATCTGATAACACTTCACAATGTGATTGTCACTGCACAGTGAAGTTTGTTTTGTCTATAAAAAAGAATAAAAAAAATTATTGTTTTAAGCAATAGCACATTGCTTTTAATTGAACCTGAAGGTATTTATCCTATCTCCTCATATAATACTTGTCTAACATTAAGCATGTATCTTTTTTAGGATACATCTAATGAAATAATAACATTTTGTGCTTTGTTTTTATGCATTTC